GAATGTAATTGAATTCCAGGAGCTACGGGACTAATCTACAATTCCTTACAGCATTAGACACTGTATACTACTTCCATCACAACAACCACTGTCTCCTGGTATTTATTTATATTTTAATTTTAAGTTATTATTCATTAATAAATTAAAATGGTGCAGTATAATATTTGCAACAATATTATAATACACGAAGTAAGAACAATATCCAATGTGCAAAATATAAAATTATTTTTCACAGTAGATGTTTCAACCTAACTGACAAGGAAATTGAGGCCTTAAAAGAACTTTTAAAGACACAAAAAAGCACTGCAAGGATTTGTTATAATTGTGATCAGACCAAAAATCAAACACCGAGCCGTCTGCCATCTGCCTCAGAGATACTGGCGGCAGTAAATCGTCTAGACTCTACAGTGAAAGAGGATATTACGAACATGAAAACAGCCCTAGATAAATATGGGGAGCTTAGTTTTGAACTTGATGAAAGGCTATCAAAGATTAAAGAGCCACATCCGAGCCAGCGTACTTCCTGGATTGCTGCAATGCCCACGCGGTATATGTTAAGTTCTGCAAGGAGCCCCTGAAGGGCTCCTGGTCTATATAGGGATAAAATGTTCCAATAAGCTAATCTTAAGTCATTTTGGTGGTTCCTGGGTCTATTCCTTAAAATCAGTCCAGCTTCTGTGCTTTGTAGAGGTTTCGTGATATTTGAATTTTGGGAGAGTGGGTTATCGGCCCACTGTCCCCAAGTCAGGTGGAGGAGCTGCCTCCTATGAGCACCCTGACGCACTTCCCCATCCGTGGCGGCTACCCAGGGGAGGTGACCCTAGGGTATATACTGTGATTGACCTTTGTCTGTAATGAAGGGTGCTGTTATTGAGTACTGTATGCATGTTAGTGTGGGTGTTTCCCCCAACCTGGAGGACCGGTGGCTGGTTGCAGCCTAACGGCTGGGCAAAGGGGCCACCACATGGGGCCGTGTTATCATAATTTTTTTTTTGTATTTTTCAAAAGCTATGCCTTCGATATTATAGTAAGTTGCCTTAAAAAAAAAAAAAAAAAAAAAAAAAAAAAAAAAAAAAAAAAAAAAAAAAAAAAAAAAAAAAAAAAAAAAAAAAAAATGGAAAAGGTTGAATTTCAAATGGAAAAGGTTTAATTTGAATTGGAAAAGGTTGAATTTGGTTTGGGAAAGGTTGAAATTGACTTGGAAATGCTATAAATTATAATTGATTTTAAATTTTTTTCAGACTTACGAATATGTATTCTAGGTTTGTAATATTTATTATTTTACGCATTTTTACAAATTTTATTTGCCTACTCAAGTCTAGGATTTATTTATACTTTTCTAAAGGGGTTTTTGCCTACTAATATACCATTCATTTATTGGAAATATTTATTTTGCATTTACTGTATTTTCTTTCTGTATTAATAAATTCAATATATTGGTATTCAGTGGAAAAAATAAAAAAATAGCTATACTTCACTTGTGAAGTTAAATAAAATCCTTTATTTATTTAATCAAATTTTACAAAATGAAGTTAGGCATTATTCAAAATTAAAGAATATTAATTATTATAAAATTAAAATACAGTTGGCTTTATTAATTATTTTATATGTAAGAAACGATAAATGAAATTAAATAATTAAAAAGTAATTAATAATTATAAATTTTAATGGCCATTATAGCTTTTCACAGTACAGCCTTGGAAAAAATAGATATACTTGGCGGATATTGATTCCTAGAATTCCTTTGATGTCTTCAAATGTCCCATACCTGGTGGGATATGCTGTGAGCTAGAATGTACGTCATTGGGCCAGGAGATGAACTACATGCCCTGAACGTTTAGGGCATCGTGTGACCGGGGCTATGCATGAACATCTGTGACTTCACATTCCCGACTCACTATTCCCAAAACGTTCACACGATGCTTTAAGTGCCTTGAAGCTTAGGGCATTGTGTGACTCCAGTTTTAGATAAGGATATTTTATAAGACCATGAGGAATCTATTAAGTGGTGATTTAGTCTGCAGAAAAACTACCCTAATTTGTTTATCATTGCCAAAGAAATGTTAGGTATAGTCACCTTTTCAATACCATCCCAACAAATCTTTTCAAAAAATAGTATGCTGATTAAGAACGAACATCTGACTCAACTATCAGCTGGTAAAGTAAAAATTGCTTTTTTTAAATTCCAATTTTTAAATTTATTTATTACAGATTTTACCATTTTAGTTTTTTAATTCATACTAAATTTTATTGGGTTCTCTGGAAAATAATGCAGGTTTTGAGCTTTCTTTAAAATACTCCTCTATATAACTAACTGTATACACTTACTGGATTATTCATTTGTATGAATGTCAACACTTATTAATCCTCTTCCAAAGGATAATGTTTGTTGACCTCTGTAGCATTTCGCTGCGTAGAAATAATTCAGTCTTTACTAAGATGTCAATGCGTGACTTTTGTATAATTTTGTTTTGCGAGTTTAAACTCAGACGGAATGGGGCCCAGATGGCGATAAACATCAGTCAAGTCTGGGGAAAAAGCAGCATTAATGAGTGCACTGTTCAATGGTGGTCCACAAAATTTTGGAAGGAAGACTTCAGCCTTGAAGACAAAGAATGTTGTGGCAGGACTTCCTCACTTGATGACGATGTTCTACGGGCTTTGGTGGAAGAAAACCCCAGAACAACTGTTCGAGAACTTGCAGGAAAACTTAACCTAAGTAACTTGACCATCGATGACCATCTCAAGGCTATTGGAATGGTAGAAAGCTTGAAAGTTGGGTTCCACACACATTTATTAATGTGTAATTAACAAATTACCCACCTCCTCACTGAACTGCTGCGTTTGACAAATCCTTTATAATTCAAGCCATCTCCATCTGGAATACCATCCCTCCCGATATCCGACATGCTCAATCAGTTTCCTCATTTAAATCTCTCCTTTTTAAGCACCTACTTCTTTCCCAACCCGACTGATCAAGAGAAGTAGATAAGAGAGCTTTTTAAGTTTTCCCTAAAATGATTTTGTTTACTTATATTATTTTATTTTCATATGTTTGTATTATATATATATATATATATATATATATATATATATATATATATATAATATATATATATATATATATATATATATATATATAACTGGTTTTATTGGCGGTCGTTTAATGAAATGAAAATAGTTTTTTATTATCCCGGGACTGTTGCCCCTTTAGGACAAATTATAGATACAGAGAAAATGCCTGTGTGGCCATAAAATTAAATTAAATAATTAAAATTCTCATTAAAATTAAAATATTGGAAGAAAATTAACCATATATTTTCAACACATATATATTTAATTTAATTTTATGGCCACACAGGCATTTTCTATGTATCTATAATTTGTCCTAAAGGACAACAGTCCCGGGATAATAACAAACTATTTTCATTTCATTAAACTACCACCAAAAAAAAACAGTTAAAAAGTTTGTGGTACACTTCTTTGCCAAAACAAAAGCGATCCTTTTCTGTCCAAAATTGTTACTTGTGATGAAAAGTGGAAACTTTACGATAACAGTAGATGTTCTGGACAGAGGCTCAACAAAGGAAAAGCAGCAGAACATTTTTCAAAGCCCCAACTCATCAAAAAAAGGTGATAGTTACTGTTTGGTGGGCTTCATTTGGTTTGATACACTAAAGCTTCTTAAATCCTGGAGAAACCATCAATGCTGATTCATAGTGTAACCAAATTAATGCAATGTATCAGAGATTGGCAATAATGAAGCCATCTTGGGAAAATCAGAAGGGGCCCATTTTGTTGTATGACAACGCCCGGCCACATGTCTCATGTGTAACATCACAAAAACTGTTGGAGCTTTGATATGAAACTCTGCCACATCTGCCCTACTCTCCGGACCTATGGTCTACGAATTATCATTTTTTTAGAAACCTGGACCACTAATTACGTGACAAAAAAATTAATGGACTTAGAAGGGAATTAGAAATTGCGTTTTTGGAGTTTATCAATTCTAAAGGTGAGAGATTCTATTCCGAGGGAATAGAAAAGTTGCCAACATGTTGGCAGAAATGTATTAATAGTAGTGTATGTATTAAATGTAGTAATTTTTTTTTTTTTATTGAGTATTAATACAGTCTGCCACACTGAAGGGCATTGGTACTAGGGCTATAGTATTCATTCACACAATATGTACATAAGAAAAAAAAAAAAAAAAAAAAAAAAATATATATATATATATATATATATATATATATATATATATATATATAAATAAAAAGGTAAAGTAATATACAAGATAATTAAAACAACAGATCAGCCGAATAATAACAAAACAAATAAAACACATTCACACCTATGTACAATATAAATGTAGTAATAGTAAATGTATTTATAGTAGAGACTATTTTGATTAATTAAAACAGTTGTAAATCTTTCTTAATTCTTTTTAAACCAAAATCCTGCATTATTTTCGGGACAACCAATATATTATAGATTCGTTTGTTTTTATTTTTATTTGTTTAAATATAATTCTGCAATAAAACTATTTTTGGTTGGTAAAATTTTTATATTTGTCTTAATTTTCCTTAAGTATTCTTTTATTCCAAGTTACAGAAAAATATTAATGAATACAAATCCATTTCTGTTTTCTATTTTGCTTTTATTCGACTATTCCCTTAATCCACTTTGGCGGCAATCAGCTATTGCACACTCGCCTTGATTACTACAAATCCCTTTTGTGCCTTTGGCTTTTCTGCCAAACATTAACCCATTGAAACCTAAAGATGTTTTTATCCTGCTCTTAGGTTATGTTTCAGCTGAACGAAGTTTCCTAGGGTCATATTCCGTTCCGAACTGTTCGGGTGGTGGAATTCGTTCCGCAAACAATTCCGCTCAGAATGTTCCATGTACTTAAGAATAGGCCATCCACTACAATAAACTGATTATAAAATGTATGACAGAAAACCTCAAAAATTTTATGGATGAAATTAAATTTAACTTACCTGAGGTATACTTATAGTAGGTATAGTGTGATAATAAGGTTCAGACAAGTCTACTCCACGAATTTCATTGGCACGAGAGAATAACATCACAAGATTATTTTCTATAATCAAACAGAACAAATTCAAATTAATTAAACTTCTTAAAAATGATTAAAATATTTGGCTTAACCATTAAAAAACCCAGATATCTGGGTTTAGTATTTTTCAAGCCTACTGAAGGAAGAGAGACTGGCGTATACTTCTAACCCAAACAAACGTAAGATAACAGAAAGCTGTGATCAGGAGGGCTTCTCAGAAGTACAATCAGAAGGGCAACTCTACCAATATCCGTTGAAGAAACAAATCTTGCTTTGAAAGGAATGAAAAACCATAAATTTGCAGATCACGTTAATATCCTAACACAGCTAATAAAAAATGGACTGCAAGAACTTATCCAACCTCTTTCAAAGTATATGATTCACTGCATAACCAAAGATATGAATGAAAAATAATTTTATTCTGGTGCTAAAGTCACCCAAGAATAATGACAAAGTTGAAGAAATATAAACATTAGTCTGGCATATAGAAATAAAAGAAATATGCAAATTATAAAAAATAAAATAAAATTGCACTTATCAATTAACTGTTAATAAGCAATAGTAATTACAAATCTAAAAAATTCTTACATGGTTGAGAAAGATTTAATATGAAATAGGTGGCGGTAGCAGGAATGATGAAGGATTTGCTGAAGGAAATGGTTTTGTGGGAGAATATATATAATAAGTTGAGATCTGGTATAAAGTGAGTAGTTAGAGGAATGTTGAGTAAGGAGTTCTAAGATGTAGAGAGGATTTTTTTCTTCTGAGGATTGGAAAAGAAAAATACCCAGAAAGAATAGCCATCAGGAAGTAGTATAGAGCCACTTCAACTCGGTGTACCTGCAGGAAACATGAGAACACCAGAGAATCCCTAAGATGAATCTTATGAAGCAATTATGAGTTCCTTCAGTCCCATCTTCAGCCTGGCGGACAGCCTTCACTACACCAAACAACTGTAGTCGAAGTGATGGGGAAAAAAAGGGAGATTACAAGAAGCTGTATGGTTTTTGTAAAAATAGAATCCCGAAATTTTATGAGCTATTTACGGATAGCTATGGATTTTTGGGATAATCTGGGAAATATGGTTATTTCAGCAGATGTTCTTATCAAAGGTTACCCGTAGGTTTTTGGCTGTCAGTAGGAAACTTATACTGGGCAGCAATATGTCGGATGGTTAAATGACCAACGACTTTGGCATAAAAAAAAAAAAAAAGAAAGAAATAAGGAAGGGAACTAATGAGACATCTGGACATCTTAGTTTTATCTGCACTCAGCTTCAGTTCATTTATTTCTTTATTTATTATTTGACGCAAAGAAGGTGGAGAAGAGAGATAGTCAGCAAAAAAGGAATTTAGCTAGTTTGGATTAACTGGATAATATGGGAAGGTTTTTGGGACTAACAACAGAGAGATTCCTAAGGATTGTCTATTTAGACTTAATGTTGGGTGCTTGGGATAAAACTCGAAGGAGCGAAAAACCAAATTGACCATGTGCTGGTATACAAAAGACATCAGAACTCAATACAAGATATAAGAAGCTATCGTGGAAGAGACTATGATTTGGATCACACTCTGATTAGAATTAAATTATGTTCGAGATCTAAGCAAATTGACAAAACAGGGAATCAAGAGGAAAGAATTAGATACATAGTCCATAGTTTGGAAAATCCTGAAGTAAAAACTAAATTTCAACTTGAGCTGAAGAATAAATACTAACCCTTGGACTCAGAGAGCCTCATGGTGGACCTGCATTGGAAGATAATAGAGGCAGTGCTTAAAGAAACAGCTGAGGGAGTGATAGATATTCAGGAGAAATGAAAAGCTAAAAAGTGGGCCGAAGAAGCATGCAAAAAGGCAGTAGAGGAAAGAAGAAAGATCAGAAAAAAATAAATTCCTCAAAGAAAGATTGCAAACCATTGAGGACAGCTGGCATGTGAATTCTATGCAGACATTAGAAAAGAAAGGGTAGGATATAAAGCGAGAAATACGCAGATGCAAGGAATAGGTGCCATTATGATATTGAGCATCTGAAAAGAACATTTTCAGCATCTTCTCAATCAAAAGAAACTCACGAACGAAGAAGGTGTGGAACAAACTGAGTACCTCAAACCTCAATATTAAGCTGGCCAATGATGTGATAGAACAGAATCGACTGAGATGGCTAGGACATCATCTGCGAATGGAACCGAACAGAATAGCTAGCGAAGCCTATCGAGCTAAAGTAGAGGGCAAGAGAGGAAGAGGACGGCCTGGAAGAAAATGGGAGGATGAGGTGAAGAACGACTTCCAGAGAAGAGGACTTCAATGGAATGATTGAAGGCGTCTTGTAGAAGACCGGCAGAGCTGGAGAAGCTCTATAGACTTCCTCCTCACACTGCTTAATGCAACAAGAGGACAGATAATGATGATGATGAGGGAAGTAGCTATAGAAAGGCTTAAATCAAGAAAGGCCACAGGGATGGACAACCTACAACCAGAGATGTTTAGAGATTGGGGAAAAGACTTAAGAGCCATGTTACTACAACTAATCCAGAAAATATGGAAGGATACCAGAGGCTTGGAATATGAGTGGGTCTACCCTATTCTAAAGAATGGCTCCATGTTTGAGTCTAATAATTACAGAGGTATAACACACCTTCTGGTTGCCTACAAGATAACCACCAATATCCTATTACATATCCTGATATATCTGTATATAATCGGAAAAGGATGGGGAGTATGCTACACCAGATCTTCATCCTAAAACAAGTACTAAAAAAAAATTATGGCTTGTAGATCACAATGTCCGCATCTTATGTGTCGATTTCAAAGCAGCCTGTGAATCTGTCGCCAGGAAGTGACTGTGGAAAATCATGACTGAACTGGGAATTCTTGGGAAGTGAGTGATATTAGCGAAGGCGTGTACAAATGACCCTAAATGTCGAGTCCTAATACAAGGAGAAGTATCTGAAGCCTTCAAAGTTTGAACTAGCTTACAGCAGGGAGATGCACTCTCACTGATATTGTTCAACTTAGTGCTAGAGAAAGTGATAAGAACATCACATGAAAATGGAGTGAACATCGGAATGAATCATAAAATCTTCGGATATATAGATGATATAGCTGGCTTTAGAAACAATCAAGAGGACATTGAGAAACTTATTAAGACTATGATAAGAGAAGCAGAGAGCACCGGCCTACAAGTAAACGAAGATAAAACAAAATATATGATAATAAGCCAAAAATTCCACCACAATAACAGGATCTGTGTAGAAGAAAAATAGAAAAATTCAAATACCTCGAGTCCACAACAATCTCAATGAATGACCAATGGTCAGAAATAGACTAGGATCTAACAAGTACAAACAGAGTTTTCTTCACTCTTTCAAAGGTATTTAAAACCCTAAAAATCTCAAATTAAGGGTGTGCAATACAATGATAAACACCGTTCAGATATACAGCTATGAAAGCTGGACAATAATCAGTACCCTAGAAAGAAATAATGAAAAGACAAAAATTCTTTATTATCCTGGGAAAAAGCCCCTAAAGAATAAAATTAAAATAACATAGTGGCTAAAACAGTTTAGCCAGATTCATTATTGATATAAATAAAAAAATGTGAAAATACATTGTTTAGGAAAATAAAATATATACAATAAATAAAATAACAAAACTACATTACCAAAAAAACAAAAATAATAAAAAAATAAAAAGATTATATTAATAATAAAAACATTTTACAAATGAAAAAAAGAGTATGAAAGAGAGACATTATTGAAGAAGAGAATAGTTGGAAACTTACGTCTTAAACAATTAGAAAAAATCTTATCTAGATGATGATTTCAGTATCCGGAAACCTGCACAGCAGTGGTGTTCTGCAGAAATTTCATTTTATATGGAAAACAAAATATCAACAACTAAAAACTTGTTTATATCATAGAGAAATAATAACCAATGCAGGATATTACAGCTAGATGTGGAGTGCTTGCTGGTACTGGCATCTACAGAGGCACAATAATGTGGCTAAAACATTCCACCAGGCTCTGACAATGAGGTTTAACCTATTAGATGAAACGGTGTCATATTGTAAAGATAATCCCAAAACCATTTCAGAAAGGTTCCCTTAAAATGTATTGGGATGAATCTATTATTATGGACCACACAGTGCTGCATCACAATAGACCCAATATCTTTATTATATATTTTGGAACAAAGAAAAAAAAGCTTATTGATGTCACAATTCCAAAAGACAATAATATAAGTACAACTATAGGTGGGAAACTCAGAAAATATTAGGAATTGGCGGTTAAAATAAAAGAATTTCATCATTTGGAAAGTGCAGTGGTAATGCCAATTATAATAACGACAAACTGATTTCAAAGCTAATAGTGGCAGGTATGGACAGCTTGATATTGCCACTTAATGTGCTAAGAGAATCTCAGGAAACAGTTCTCTTAGACAGTCAGAATAGTTAAAAAATGTCTAAATATTTGAGAACAAAAAATTTATACCTGTAGAATGCTGGACTTGTCCCCCACCTTCAGTTTCAAAACAGCAAATGTGAAAATACCACTAAAATGAATTCTGGGAAACTTGAAATATAAGAAAAGGTGATTTAGTATAAAATAAAATTAATAAGACTGGGCCAGAAGGTGTTTGAAGAGGAGAGCTTTTAATAAGGAAACTGTTGAAGCATGGAAGGTTATAGGCAAGATGGAGTTTCAGAAAGAAACAGCTCGGATTAGGAAGGATTTATCAAATGCTGCAGTTCGGTGGGGAGAAAGGTAGAAGTCAGAAAGACAAGCGGGTGAGTTGAGATTTGATGGAAAATTCTAATTGTAGGCTCTGTAGTATGTAGGATGAGTTCTGAATTCTGATAACCAGATATAGGAAGGAGGCAAGGAAATACTGACAGCTGTGAAATAGGTACAGCCACTTCAGATCAACATAATACTAGGTTATTCGTGTACCTTAACCCCAGAAAAAAATCTAACTAAGCAATTCATAAGCTGTTTAAGTCTTGCTTCAAGTTTGCCAAAGCGTCTG